GTATATGATCTTTGTGCATATTGCTAAAATCTCCTTCCTAGCAATTTATTTAAAACTTTTCCATCAATATTCATTAGGGAAATTAGTCTGTTATTTTCTTTTTCTGTTTTTACTATCTCTGGTGTAGGTATTAAGATCATATTTGCTTCATATTTCCAGGATTCTTTTTTTAACCTATTTTTTTCAAAGGGTTTGTGCAATATTGGAATTAAAAAAAAATTTGATAGAATTCACATGTAAATCCATTGGTCCTAGGTTTTTCCCCCCCTCAGGGAAGTAATTTATGACTTTTTCATGATCTTTTTCTAAAATAAGGTTATATAAATATTCTGTGTCATGTTCTGGGCAATTTACATTTTTATAAATATCCATTTCATTAAGATTATTAGTTTTACTGGCATAGAGTTGGGCATAATAGCTACTAATAATTGCTTTTATCTCATCATCAGTGCTTGTTAGTTGATCTTTTTTATTTTTCATACTGGTAATTTGATTTTCTTTTTTTTTTTTAATCAAATTAGTCATGTTTATTTTATTTCTCCCCCCACCCCAGCATCCAGTTTTATTTATTAGATCTGTTCTTAAAACTTTAAATTTTGCTAATCTCTTTTATTTTTGGAATTTATATTTTGGTGTTCAATTTGGGGTTTTGAATTTCTTGATTTTCTTAATTTTTAGCTGCATGTCCAGTTCATGCATCTGCATTTTTCTTTTTTAGTGATGTAAGCGTTTAGCTACCGCTTTGGCTTCATTTCACAAATTTTTGTATATTGTCTCGTTTTCCTTATTTTTAATGAAATTATTTTTTCTGTAATATATTCTTTGACTCAATCATAATTTAGGACTAGGTTATTTAGTTGCCAATTAAATTTTAATCTATGCTTCAAAGGCCATTTGTTGAATGTAATTTTTATTGCATTATAGTCAGAAAAAGATGCACTTAATCTTTCTGCTTTTCTGCATTTGTTTGTGAAAGTTTTATGCCTTAATACACAGTCAGTTTTTGTGAAAGTGCCATGCACAGCTTTGAAATAGGTATACTCAGGAGTAGCTAGGTGGCGCAGTGGATAGAGCACCGGCCATGGATTCAGGAGGACCTGAGTTCAAATCCGGCCTTAGACACATAACATTTACTAGCTGTGTGACCCTGGGCAAGTCACTTAACCCCATTGCCTAGCCAAAAAAAAAAAAAAAAAGAGAGAGAGAAGAAATAGGTATACTCCTTCTATTTCCATTCAGTATTCTCTAGAGGTCTATAATATATAACTTTTATAAAATTCTATTCATCTCCTTAGCTTCTTTTTTATTTTCTAGTTAGATTTATCTGTGTTGGAGAAGGATAAATTGTTGTCCCTCTCTTAGTTTTACTGTCTGTTTCCTGCTGTAACTTAATTTTTCCTTTAAGAATTTGAGTGCTTTGCTGTTTGGTACATGCATGTTAAATATTGATATTAATTCATTGTCTATGATATCTTTTGGCAAAATATAGTTTTTCTGTTTGTCTTTTTTAATTAGATCTATTCTTGCTTTTACTTTTTTTGAAATATTGTCACCTCTGTCCTTTTAAAATTTCAGCTGAAGCTTAATAGATTCTGCTCCAGCGCCTTATTTTAAGTGTGTGTATCTTTTCTGTTTCAAGAGTGCTTCTTGTAAATAATATGTTGTTGGATTCTGGTTTCTAATCCATACCGCTATCCTCTTCCATTTTTTGGATGAGCTCATTTCAGTCCCCTTCACAGTTATGATTGTTAACTGTGTGTTTCCCTTCATCTAATTTTCTTATACTTTTCCTTCTCTTTTTACCCTCCCTCCTTTCTAAGAGTCTCTTTTGCTTTTGACCACTGTCTCCCTTGATCTACCCTCCCTCTGACCTCTCTTTCTGACTTTTACGTGTTGAATTTCTGCCCAGCTTTTAAAGCCCAATTTAAGTACTGCCTCCTTAATGAAGCCTTCCCTAATTTTTCTTTCCTTTTACCAAAGCCTTTGTTTTGTACCCCTCTAATTTAACTTGTTTTTGTATTATTTCTCTATTATTTCAAATTCTTTTTATATCTGTTAGAATTCTTACTCTTTGTTTTTATAAGTCATATCCCCTACTGATTGCGATATTGACCATCTGGTGATGTTCATGTGTGGGGTCACCTTTTGGGTTGTTGAAAAAGAGTGTTTGCTATGACCAACAAATTATCTCTTTGTAGCCACAGGTAGAGAAACTCTATACAGTCAGTTAAATCAGGATCTGGAGTGTGGCTCAAATCATGAGGTTCTTATTGCAAAATTCAGATTTAAATTCGGTATGAGCTAAATAACATCCCTTATGAATGTGAAACAGAAGTGATGAGCAGATTTAAGGGATTGAATTTGGTAAATAGAATGCCTCAAGGACCATGGACAGAGGTTTGCAATATTATTCAGGAGATAGGAAAAAAAAAGCAAAATGGCTTTCTGATGAGGCCTATACAGATAGCTGAGGAAAGAAGGAAAGGGAAAAGGAAAGGAGACAGGAAAGATATTCTCAAGTGAATACAGAATTCCAGAGAATAGCAAGGAGAGATAAGAAAGTTTTCATAAATGATCAATACAAAGAAATAGAAGAAAACGATACAATGACAAAGACAAGAAATCTCTTCAAGAACAAATGTTTCATGAAAAAAATGGGCATGATAAAAGATAAAAATGGTAGGGACTTAACAGAATAGAAGAGATTGAGAAGAGGTGGTAGAAATACATAGAAAAACTGTATAAAAAAGATCTTAACATGACTGATAATGGGGATGGTGTAGTTACTGATCTAGAGCCAGACATCCTGGAGAATGAAGTCAGGTGGGCCTTAGGAAGTATTGCTTACAGTAAGGCTAGTGGAGATGATGGAATTCCTGCTGAGCTATTTAAAATCCTAAAAGATGATGTTGTTATAGGGCTGCAGTCAATATGCCAGCAAATTTAGAAAACTCACCAGCAGCTACTGGATTGGAAAAAAATCAGTTTACGTCTCAATCTAAAGAAGGGCAATGACAAAGAATGTTCAGGTTACTGAACATCTGCACTCATTTCACACACCAACTAGGTTATACATAAAATTCTGCAATCTAGGCCTCAGTAATATGTTAACCAAGAATTACTATAAGGAGCAGGCTGATTTTCAAAGGGGCAGAGGAACTAGAGATCAAATTGCAAACATTTGCTGGGTTATGGAGAAAGCAAGGGAGTTCCAGAAAAAAACAAAAAAAATCTACACTAAAGCCTTTGCCTGTGTGGATCACAACAAAATGCGGCAAGTCTCCAAAGAGTTGGGACTACCAGATCATCTTACTTGTCTCCTGAGGAACTGATATGCAGGCCAAGAAGCAATAGTTAGAACTGAATATGGAACAACTGATTGGTTTAAGATTGGAAAAGGAGTATGGAAGGCTGTGTATTGCCACCTTATTTAACTTATAAGCAGAGTACATTATGTGAAATGCCAGGCTGGACAAATTAAAAGCTAGAATCAGTGTTGCTAGGAGAAACAGCAACCATCTCAGATATTCAGATGATACCACTCTGATGGCAGACAGTGAAGAAGAATTCAGAAGCCTCTTGATGACAGTGAAAGAGGAGAGTGTAAAAGATGACTTCAAGGTTTTACATCAAAAAACAAAAAACTAAGATCATGGCATCTGGGCCCATCACTTCCTGGTCAAGAGGGAGAAGAAATGAAAGCAGTGTCAGATTTAATGTTCTTGGGCTCAAAGATCACTACAGATGGTGACTGCAGCCATGAAATTAAAATACACTTACTTCTTGGAAGGAAAGCTATGGCCAGCATACTGGACAGCATCTGGACAGCATACTACACAGAGACATCACCTTGCCCACAAAGGTTTGTATAGTCAAAGCCATGGGTTTTCCAGAAGCAATGTATGGCTGTGAGTTGGACTGCAAGGAAAGCTGAGAGCCACAGAATTGATGCTTTCTAATTGTGGTGCTGGAGAAGACTTTTGAGAATCGCTTGGACAACGAGGCACTCAAACCAGTCAATACTTAAACAAATTTTTTCAGACTGTTCACTGCAAGGTCAAATACTGAATCTGAATCTTAGATACTTTGGTCACATAATAAGAAGACAGTACTCATTGGAAAAGACCCTACTGTTGGGAAGGATTGAAGGCAAAAGGAGAAAGGGACTGCAGAGGATGAGATGGATAGATAGTGTCATGGAAACAGTGAACATGAGCTTGGACAAACCGAGAGATAGTGGAGGATAAAGGGCCTGGCATGCTATGGTCCACGGGGTCACAGGAAGTCAGATACAATTGAGTGACTGAACAACCAAAATCCCCTCACTAGTATATAAACTCAATGAGAACAAGTATCAGGTCTTGTCTCAATTTGTCATTTCAAATCTCTAGCAACTTGCTATGTATACAGTAGATAATAAATATTTGTTGAATTTGAACATAAATATATTGCTTATTCCTTAAACTAATTTGAAATTCACTTTAGTTGGTTAATAAAAGCCACATTCTTTTTTTTTTTTTTTTTGGTCTATGCAATGGGGTTAAGTGACTTGCCCAAGGTCTCACACAGCTGGTGTTATGTATCTGAGGTTGGATTTGAACTCAGGTCCTCCTGACTCCAGGGCTGGTACTCTAACCACTGCGCCACCTAGCTGCCCCTTAAAAGCTACATTCTTAAAAGCTATAATTTTCAGGTGGTATTATTTTGTTATTGATGACGTTCAGCAAGCTGTATCCTCCTTAGTGCCAGCATAATTCTGGGGATATAGTAGGCTTCCAATAAATATCCATTGATTTTTTTTTTTTACTTTGAGTTTTCTGATGAGTTATATGAATTTAAGAAAATTTGTGCAAAACAGTGATTCAGTGAAGTTCTTTGAAAATCAAATTACTATGTTGAATTTTAATGTTTTTATATTTGTGTTAGTTTAGTAAGATTTCATATCCATTAACTTTATAGCTTTTGTAGATAATAAATATGCACTTTATCTTCTTTTATAGGCCGGCCTAATTGAAGCAAATGGAGAGCTAAAGGTTTTTATAGACCAAAACCTCAGTCCTGGAAAAGGTAAGAAGCTCATTTTGAAAATAATTTACATTAAAAATTCATTTATTAAATAACCTTTAAACTTCTTTTAGAGTTTTATACCTATAGTAATTGAAATTAATTTAATTTTTATGTAATGATGTATTTTATGTAATGCTTATTCATAACTCTCCCTTTTATCATTGTTTTACATAATAGGAATGCAGATTCATTGACCATTTTGTGTTTATCAAGTAGTTGATCTTTATTTCTTGTGTTTTAATGATTAGTAGTGTTCAGTAAATCATCCTGTGCTGAAGAGCATTGAGCCATTTTCCCTTTACTTACCCAATGTTTAGATGGAAATGCTAGCCTTACCCCAATATCGATTTTTCACCAAGACCAAGACTAAAGCTGCGCCACCTTGGAATTGTCACTGGCCCCATCAAAATAGGATAGTGTATCACTCAGTACATTCAATATTGGAATTCCCTATTTTTCCCTGCTTAAGAGCTTAATGACTCCCTAATGTTGTAAACCAATGTAGTTTAATCATTTTTGTTTGCAGGTCCATATTGATTCTGGAATTTTGATAAATAATTTCTGAAAATTACTTTTTTAGTGAAGGTTCATATGTAATAGTGTAATATGAAGAATGCTGCACTTGGAGTCAGGGGAGATTTGAGTTAAAATTTTGACTCAAATATTTAACAATTGTGTAACTCTAGGGAAATCACTTAATTTTTGAGTCCCTTTGCTCATTTGTAAAGTGACAGTAATGATACTTGCATTATCTTATTAACAAGGTTGTTGTGAGGAAATGTTTTGTGAACTTCATAATTCCGTATAAATATAGTTTTTATATTATTAAAGAAAACTAGTTTGAAATTACCTGTTAATAGTATTTGTCTTACTGATTTCCAATTTACTGGCAAAAAGAACTAGCCAAGGCACCTCTCCAAAATCAACAGCACAATGTGCCTTTTGAATATTATCTCATTTTAATCTTACTACAACCCTGTGAAGTAGCTGCTATTATTGTAGTTGAAGAAACTGAGGTACTCACATACATCCTTACTGCTTAAAGGATGTGATGTTTCATTCATTTTTGTATCTATACTGTTGTAAGTTTTAACTCTTTCAAACTTTAATCTTTTTGAGTTTCTGGCACTGAAGATATTTATTACCTGATGACCTCCTTACTGGTGATGAGCCTCTCCCAGCTTACTTAGTTGGTCCTCAGATGAATGACATAGTTTATTGCTGAGTGTACATGGAAGACTTTAAATCTTGTTAGAACATAGTAGTGCTTATGCTGGCATTTCCTTCAAAAACTCAGTTACCTCCACGATTTGTTGAGACATCAGAGAAAGATTTTAGTGGATTTCTTTCCATTGTGACTAGCCTGTCTAAATGATCTCCCTTTAGACTGAATTCCTTGAGAGTAGGGGATTTTGTTTGCCTGTCTTTGTATCTTCAGCATTCAGCACAATGTCTGGCACATAGTAGAAGCTAGCTATAAATACTTTATTCCTACAATCTAACACTTTGTTAATTTGATGGGTGTGAAGTGAATTATCAGGTGTGTTTTAATTTGTATTTTTCTTTTTAGTGGTATGGAATATTTTTTCATGTGGTTGTTGATACAGTATGTTTCTTTTGAAAACTTTTGTATCCTTTCACTCCTTATTTATTGGGGACTGGTTCTTTGACCTTATGTTAGTTTCTGTATGACATTTTTATCACATATTTGATGTAAATATTTTCCCCCAAATTTTAAAAATCTTCTGCCTTTATTAATTTTAGAAAGATTTATTACACCTCATTTGTTAAAAACTAGAGAATTGAATTGGGGACAAAAATGGCTTATTTTTTTCCTCTGATTTTGACAGAATCATTGAGCAAAATGAGTATTTGCATATATGAAATAGAAAGGAAAAAAAGAATTGTATGTGAAACTGAATTTCTTATTATGTACAACTTGCTTTTCCTTTTAAGTATAATAAATTTACCATGTAACTTTCAAAGTGGTCCTGCTTGTCTGTGTTTCCTTCTGACCTTCCTTCTATTCTCTTAGGTGCATTTAAAGAAATACTTCTATGTCCTTCTAAAAAAAAAATGGCAACCCTGTTTTTAGCTCTCATGTTCCCAAATTAAGAGAAAAAGAAAAACCAAAACTCTTGACAAATCAAGATCTTTTCCTTGTTACTTGCCTCCCCTTTTAATTTTAACTGCATTAATTTTGTTTGTGTAAAAAACTTTAATTTTATGATTCTTTATTTTCTACATTTTGTATACCTAATCACTTCCACTGATCAATCTCTCAGTTTCTTAACCACTGCAAAGTGGTATTGATGATACAGCTTTGTACTTTGAGATCTAGTCCTGTTAGTAGCTACATATGTAGCTGCAAGACTTTTGTTCCTCTAGATAATTTCATTATTTTTTCTAGCTTTTTGAGATAAACCTTTGGCAATTTGACAATGCTCTATACCAGCAAATTAATTTAGGCACTATTATCATCTTTATTGTATTGGCCCATTTCATCCATGAGCAATTAATATTTCTCCGGAGGCAGCAAGGTGATGCTTTGGTTAGAGTGTTGGGCCTGGAGTCAGGAAGAACTGAGGTCAAATCCAACCTTAGACACTTACTGGCCGTGTGATCCTGGGAAAGTCACTTAACTCTGTTTGGCTTTGGTTTCTTCAATAATAAAATGGGGATGATAATAATAGCACCTACCTCATATGGTTGTTGTGAAGACATTATGAGATAATATTTGTAAAGCACTTAGCCTAATTCCTGGCCCATGCTAGGCACTTAATAACTACTTATAATCACTTCTCCCTTTCTAGTTATTTAGGTATGCTTTATTTCTGCAAAGAGTGATTTGTAGTTGTATTCTTATAGTTCTAGTGTGTTTGGTAGGTGGACTCTCAAACATTTTATAAATTATCTTTATTAGAAATCTCTATTTTTCCCTCCTGTATTTTGTTGGTAATATACAGAAATGCTTTTTGATTTATGTGAGTTTATTTTACATTCTGTAACTTTGCTAAAGTTACTGTTTCAGTTAATTTTTAGTTAACTCCGGGTTCTCTAGAGAGACCATCATATAATCTCCAAAAAGTAGTAAGAAGAGGAAAAGATAGATTATTTTTGCATTTAGCTGGAACCACCTGTATTTACCTGACTATTTTCTGTCTCAGTGTATGTATGAAATGTTAATTTTGTGATTATTTCCTGGATGTAGTAGAATTCTATACCGCAAGTTTCATCTGTTGCCAAATGCCAATAATATAAAATGTCTATTTTGAACGTATTTTTATATTTGAAAGATTTTCATGAGCATGTTCTCTACCCACATTTCTTAAAATTTTTTGATGAACATAATGACATAGGATGGTGTAGTGGATATATAATAAGTCCTGAAGTCAGAAAACATACATTAAATTTTCTAGTTTGTTATTCACTTTCACTTTTATCTTGAGCTAATCTCTTAATATCTCTGAGCCTTTCATATAATCTGGAAAATTCTTGTCCTAGCTGCTACATCACAAGATTGTTGTAAAGATCAGATGGGATAAGAATGTGAAAGTACTTGTCATATTTATGGTGCTATGTGGGTGTCATGTCATGGTATGGGAACTCCCTTTGTTATTACAGGAAATAAATTATCCAGCTGTAATTTGGTAACTCAGTCTTAGAGAGTTGCCTCAGCCCAAGAGAAGATAGTGTCTGAGGCTTGACTTGAACCCAGGTTTTCCTGACTCAGAGTCCAGTATTTTATCCACTTATGCCCCCACCTTTCATTATCAATAATGATAACAAACTGGCAATTTTCTTTTTTTCTTTTTCTTTCAGTATATTTTTATTTGTTTTGTTAAATACTTTTCATCATTTTTGAAAAATTTGACTTCCAGATGCTCCCCCTCCTTCTCACCATCTCCCCTCCTTGAGAAGGCAAGCAATTTGTTACAGTTTATACATGTGAAGTGATGCAGAACATATTTCTATTTTAGCCAAATTACAAAAGAAAATGCAGACCCAAAAAAGAGGAAAAAAATAAAAAAAAAATACATGCTTCTGTCTGCATTCAGAGATGAACTGGTAATTTTCAAAAGATATTTTTGTTGAAGAGTTAGGAGAAGAAGACAAGTTGAGTTAGGGGTGGGGCTGGGCAATTCTCAGGACACAATTTATCTTTAATGTTAATTGCGTATTATGCGAGAGTCTTGAAATGAACACCGTGGACCAGTGATGCTACCAACTCTGATTCTAGAGCCATATAACAGTCACTTGTGAAGGAAAATTAGCTCCCTGACTACTATAAATCCTTTGGAAGTCTAGGAGAGTCTAGTCTAATTCAGAAATGAACCATCTTTTTTTAATTTTAAAGTTTTATTTTTCTACTCCTTCATTTCTGAATATATCCCTCCTCTCTTTCCTTTCCAGTGAGCCATCGTTTGCGACAAAAGAATAAAAAAGAAAGTTATATATTGAACAGGTAGCTAGTTACTTTAAAATAAGTGTTTTTGTGTTATTGGATCATTAGCTATTATTTTTGTGACTGAAGGCCCTGCCAGAATCCAAAAATACTCTGTTTTGCAGTTTCAGCAGCGGTAAGAATATTCCTCCTTCTTAGAACTGCCAGGGTTGAGTGCTGTCATCTTAGAGCCTTCTTTTTGATCAGACCTGTAAACTCTGGTCAGTCTGCTCTGTGAACATGTTGAGTCCCCAAAATTTCATGCCTTTGCATCATTCCATTCCTCATTCCTGAAATGCCCTCCCCCAATTGGCCTGTAAAGTCAGTTCCTCCACGAAGCCTTCCTTCCTTAATGCTGATCCCGCAAGATCCCTTCGCTCTTTACACATCTTTGTTACTCTAATGGCAGTGTAGTGCACAGAGGGCAGGACTTGGAGTCAGGAAGACCTGAGATCAAGGCCATCCTCAGACATTTACTAGCTGTGTGACCCTAAGCAAGTCACTTACCCCTGTTTGCCTTAGTTTCCTCATCTGTAAAATGGGGGTCATAATGTCA